GAGCTCACCAGTGGTGGGAAGAGTAGGCTCGGCGACTCAGCGGCTCGGCAGCTCGGCGGCTCGGCGGCTCGGGCGACTCGGGCGGCTCGGCGGCAAGGCGGCTCGGCAGCAACTGCAGCTCAGCAGCTCGGTGACTCGGCGGCTCGGCGGCAGGGCGGCTCGGCAGCAACTGCAGCTCAGCAGCTCAGCGACCCGGCGGCTCGGCGGCAGGGCGGCTCGGCTGCTGGGCGGCTCGGGTGCAGGGCGGCTCGGCGGTGGGGCGGCTCGGCTGCTGCAGGTGAGCGATGAAGGAGGAGGAGAAGCAGGGGAGGCCACACACCTGCCACCCCTCTGCTGGCCTCTCAGGCCGCAAGCGGCCCCCTCAGGTCGCCTCGACAGGCGACGGGAAAAGGGGGGGTGGGTGGTGGGGGCCGGTAGGTGCAGCGGCGGGGCCAGCAGGTGCAGTTGCGGGGCCGGTAGAAGGGGACGGCAGCCTGGGCGGTCGTGGGCGGCTCACGCTGGGCGGGTGCACGGGCGGCTCGGCGGGCGGCGTACAGGCAGCTCACGGGCGGCTGCGAAGGGCGGCTCGCGGGCGTCGGGCGCTAGGGCGCTGGGGCGACGACGGGCGGCGCTCAGGCGTCAGGGCGGGCGGTCGTCAGAGCGCTAGAGCGGGCGGCGCTCAGGCGTCAGGGCGGGCGGCCGTCAGGGCGCTAGGGCGGGCGGCGCTCAGGCGTCAGGGCGGGCGGCCGTCAGGGCGCAAGGGCGGGCGGCGCTCGGGCGCTAGGGCGAGCGGCGCACGGGCGCTAGGGCGGGCGGCCGTCAGGGCGCTAGGGCGGGCTGCGCTCGGGCGCTAGGGCGGGCGGCGCTCGGGTGCTAGGGCGGGCGGCCGACAGGGCGCTAGGGCGGGCGGCCGTCAGGGCGCTAGGGCGAGCGGCGCACGGGCGCTAGGGCGGGCGGCCGTCAGGGCGCTAGGGCGGGCGGCGCTCGGGCGCTAGGGCGGGCGGCCGTCAGGGCGCTAGGGCGGGCGGCGCTCGGGCGCTAGGGCGGGCGGCGCTCGGGCGCTAGGGCGGGCGGCCGTCAGGGCGCTAGGGCGGGCGGCCGTCAGGGCGCTAGGGCGGGCTGCGCTCGGGCGCTAGGGCGGGCGGCGCTCGGGTGCTAGGGCGGGCGGCCGTCAGAGCGCTAGGGCGGGCGGCCGTCAGGGCGCTAGGGCGAGCGGCGCACGGGCGCTAGGGCGGGCGGCCGTCAGGGCGCTAGGGCGGGCGGCGCTCGGGCGCTAGGGCGGGCGGCGCTCGGGCGCTAGGGCGGGCGGCCGTCAGGGCGCTAGGGCGGGCGGCGTTCGGGCGCTAGAGCGGGCGGCCGTCAGGGCACTAGGGCGGGCGGCCGTCAGGGCGCAAGGGCGGCGGCGCTCGGGCGCTAGGGCGGGCGGCCTTCAGAGCACTAGGGCAGATCGAAAAAAAAAGTACTAGGGCCCGGAGCGCGCTCCGGGCAGGAAAAAAAAAAGGTTAAGAGGTTGCGGTGGTGGGCCCTACGAACAGTTCCCACAGGGGAACCTGCTCGATACCATGTGAGAATAAGCGAACAGGAATGAATGAACTAGCAGTGAAATGAGTACAAGTAGGAAACCCTAGAATTGTGTACCCCCTATAGGCTAACCCACTGTAGCCTACACAAGCAGAACATATATAATGTTTGACATCCGCCAGGTACTGCTTGAAGCGCTGAGAGGTGTACTCTCCTCCTCCGTCTGACTGAAAGCTTTTCAGTTGTGTTCCTGATTCCCTCTCTGCTACCGGTAGCCAAGCGGCGAACGCTGCGAGAGCCATGTCGCGGCTGGGTAGGTTTCGATGCCATACGTATCGAGTGGCGGCGTCGATGAAGGTTATCGTGTAATTGTAGGTGACTTGTCCTGGTTCTCGATTGAAGAGGATGTCGCTGTATACTTTCTCGAGTGGTGCGTATGTAGGTGCGCTTGGGTTGTGGTGAGAAGAAAACGGTCGATGGGGTAAGTCGGCTTCGGGGCAGATAAGGCAAGTTCCTCGTGCACGTTGAAGTTCTCTGCCGTCGGGTAGTAGTAGCGAGTCCTTGTCTAGAACTCCTGCTCGAATTGTGTTATTTAACAATGTGTTGCTTGGATGTCTTGTGCGTGCGTGCCAGATGTCTTCAGGAGCGCGGTGTCCGGGTGAGCGTTGATACGCGTCGGAGTTGGACTAGAAGCTGGCGACGAAGTGTGCGCTTCTGTGGACTTCTCGTTGAGTCGGGTTCAGCTACTGTGCGGGTGTTGGTGGTGCTTCGTCGACGGGTATTGGTGTCGTTGGTCCTGCTACTGCCGATGATGTTGCTGCTGCTGATGTTGTTTCTGCTGCTGCCGATGTTGTTGCTGCTGCTAATGTTGTTTCTGCTGCTGCCGATGTTGTCTCTGCTGCTGCCGATTGTTGAATCGTTGCTAATGCGCGTGTTCGTTCTGCCTCAGGTATGGTGTGCGAGTACCAGAAGCCTCCCGGGCTAAAGTCGGGATCGAGATCCGGGGGATGTGTCCAATCGGCGAAGTTGACGATGGCGTCGCTATCTGCAGTGCCCAGGTCGGGGACGAAATCGAGGACGAAGACGTTGTTCTTCAACACCACCCTTCCGATGTAGAGGTCGCCCTTCCCGTGGTACAACTTGAACTCCTGTGTAGTGCTGTCGGCTTCCAAGTGAATACCTTTCGCCATCAACTGGCTGACACTCAGTAAATTATAGCCGAGTCCCTCCGCGATGAGTACCTTTGACATGTGTAATATGACATTTGTCTCTCGTGAGTGAAGCTGTACCACTCCTTGTCGTCGTGTGCGCAGGTTCTGATTGTTGGCGACCGTGATGACTACTTCTCGTTGGAGTCGATGCTCGCGTTGAACGAAGCGCCCGGAGGAGCACATATGTTGTCCGCAGCAACTGTCCAAGAACCAAGTGTCTTGGCCGGACGGTTCGCTTTGAGCAATGGCGGCGTATGTCGGATTCGGTTGGAGTGACTCGCGGCGAGGCATCCTGTTATCGAGCTCTTCTTCCGGTGAGTAGTGGGGTGGTGATTCTGTTGTGCAGGAATCGGTTATCTTTACCATGCAGTTGACAATATTCCTTGGTTTTTGCGCAGGTTGTCCTGTTGGAGTCGTTGAGGCTTGGACTGAAGTTGTTGGGGCTGCTTGCGTCGAGGTGACTTGGCCGCTCGAAGGTCGGAGTTGTCGCTGTGGTGCTGTCGATTGATGACGATACGGGCAGTGAGTGCGAGGATGTCCTGAAGTCTTGCAGATATGGCAACAAGGAGGTACTGGCTTCGGTTGTTGTTGCTGTCGAGTGTTGCTATTGTTGTAGCGTCGCTGAGTGTGAAACGCAAACTCCGGTGCTAATGTTTTCTTCTTGTGTCTTTCTTCTTGCAGGTCCATGTCCTGCTGCTCGGCGTGGATTTCGGCGCAGAGTGCCGCTTCGGAGATCCTCCCGTGTGCTCGTAATATGGCGCGAGTGGAGCGCCAGTGGGGGCCGAGACCGCCGATAACCACCGTGACAAAGGCGTCTTCTGAAATTGACCCTCCGCATCAAAGAAGCTTGTCGCGCAGTTCGCGGCAGCGGCTGATATAAGCCATGCCTTTCTCGCCTGGTTTCATTTCAATCGTTGTCAGCTGCGCCATTAACCTGCTTTGATTTACGCTGTCTGTTGCTTGATACAGGTTCTTCAGGTGGTTGTACGCGAGCTCCGCGGAGTTGCCGTAGCCTCGGTAGGTTCTGATGTTCTGCTGCTAGGTCGGGGTGATGTTTCTTAGCAGTATCGTGTACGCCATCATTGATTGATAGGTGTACTGCTGCTTCTCATATTGTGTCACGTTTGTTGGATATGGCAGGGACCCGTCGAAGAAGCCAAGGATTTGCGCTCCTTCCATCATCAGCTCGAATTCGAAAGACCAGGTGAAGAAGTCTTTTCCGTCAAAAGGCTTTGTCGTTTGCAGCTTTAAAACGTGCGCGAATTGCGACTGAACTTGTAATGCGTCCAGTGCTCTCTCTTGTCCCGGTGCAGGTTGTGGTTGCGGCATAAAGCTGACGGAGCCACGCTGGGGCTCGTACGGAGCAAAGGTGGGTTGTTGATGTTGATTCCCGCGCGCGTAGGATGAGCCATCGAGACTCATAGGCGTCACGTTGTTGATGTTGTTGCTGTTGTTTGATTGCGCAGGTGCTCCTTGCTGGTGCTGCTCGTAGAAGGACATGAAGGAGAAAAATTTCTCCATCATGCTTGGATCGAAGCCCGTGCCTTAGTTTGCGGGTGTTTCCGTAGACCCAGCTGCTGGTCTCGTCGTTGTCCCCTCCTCTGTCAGTAGGCCAGAGGCAGGTGGTGGAGTAGGGGTAGTACCGGGAGAGCCGTTGGAGGAGCTCCTCTCCTTTCTAGTAGACATGTCTTCTTTGATGTACTGAGTGTTGAATAATGAATTTTAACTCTAACTGCTCTCATACCATGTTGGGCTGAGGTGCCCTAGGATCTTTGTAGAGTTAAAGTTTGAGTAGGATGATGTAATAGCGGAAGCGTTGAATAAGAAAGCCTTGAACTACCTTGCGCTGGTATGTGAGGGCAAAGTAAGTTAATTAAAACAGGCAAATACAAAGCTTTATATAAGAGTACAAGGGATACGAATAGATGTAATTAAACTACCTTGCTGTTGCGATTCGATACAGTGCGACTCGGGCAACTGCTCAATGTCGAGTCAGTTGTGTGTCCTTGCTGTCGCGCTGTATTGGTCAAGTCAAAGGTCGCTGAACCTTGACCTTCCCGTAACCTTGAAGCGGTTACCCTAACCTCCGAGGGTTGACTCGCGATGCTTCGATTTGGACTTCTTCGCTTTGTGTCCTGAGTTTCGACACGACAGAGGCGCTTAAGACTTATTGTTCCCAACAATAAAATGGAGTATGCTGCCTTGCTGCCCCTTCTGTGCCACTTTGTCCTGCTTCATGCCTCCTGCTGCGTCCATGCTTCCTGCTGCGTCCATGCCTCTAGCTCCATTTCAATGCCCCTGCTGCCTATCATCACCACCAGCACCAGCACCCCCATCGTCCTCGCGCCGGTACAGCTGCTCCAGCTGCTCCTTCAGCGACCCCTTGCCCTTCCCCTTCCCCTTCCCTCTCCCCAATCCGAACTCACCCAACCCTTGCCCTTGCCCGCCCATCACCGCTTGCCCCTTGCTGCCGCTGCCCCCAATCCCCTCCTCCTCGCCACAGGAACACGCCTTCACGTTGAGGTTCGCCCCGCACCCGAGGCACATGCCTCGGCACCCGGGGCTGCACCGGACCTTGAGAGGGATCTCCAGGTGCACCGTGTCGCGCACGTACTTAGAGACGTCTATAATCCGCTGGTCCGGGGGGAAGTAGAGCTTATCGTCTAAGTCTAGGTCCAGCATGTCGCCCTCGTCGCCATCGTCATAGTCGGCAGGGAGAGAGTTAAAGCTGGAGGAGGGGGCGTCTAGGATGACCCCTAGGCTGCGCTTGGTGGGCTCGTGGAGGGGTGAGGCGGAGAGTAGCAGGCTGAACTCGCTATAGATGGGCTCGGTAACGGGGCATAAGCACCTGGCGAGGACGGGAGAAGGGGTTGGGGTTTGCGGATTCGGGTAGAGGAGAGAACGAGGAGTGAGGGATGGGGCGGAATAGGGGAGTAAGGGAGAGCAGGACATTTGAAGGGAACTCCTGTTATAAGCTCACCTGTGGCACTGCATGGCGAACACTGTCTGCGCAGTGCCGTCCAGCCTTATATCGCGTCCCACTTTAGAAGAACGCATGCGCACTACCACAGCTGTACCCTCCGCCTCCCCCTCTCCATCGGCTCCCGTGCGCTCATCTTGCGGGATTTCCGCCATCAGTGTCTCCGCGGCCTGCGCACGGGACGCCGCGGAGGAGAGATGCGGAAGCGCGAGGCGCTCCAAGGAAGAGACGAAAACAAATTCCTGACGAGCCGCGCTGCGACGGTAGACCACGGCGCCGAGCCAAGGCTCGCCCTCCTCCAAAGCAGCAAGGTCCGCTGCCGAACTTCCAGGTTCGGATCTGTTCGAAGCCTTGGCTCGAGTGACTAGCCGATTCGACCTCGTGTTCGATGAACATTGAAGATAGTCAATGCTAACTGTCGATCGAAAGCTTCTAGGTTTGAAAGGAACGCGAAGCCTTTTCGCATCAGCGTGCTCAGAACTGTTGGAGGAGCGGCCGCGTGATAACGGCAACGGCACACAAGGAACAAGTCTATCTTGGACGATAGGTGGACTGACAGCAAATGCTAACGACCCCATGCCGCGGCGCCTGAGACGAACGATGATGACCAGGCGTGGTAGGGCGGTGCTGTGGTGTAAAACGAGGAACCGCAACGCGGAATTGTTAGAATCAGTCTAATGCGAAGGCTTTTAGAAGAAAAAGTTAGATGGGAAGCAAGTGCCACCACTTCGCGAACAAGCCTACCTTCTCCTGGTTACTTCGCCGTCGTTAACTTTTTGTTTGCTTTAAAGTATAGCCGTTCTGCTGATCACCAAAAATCAACCCGCAAACGAGATTCACCGTCCGTACCGTACTGGTCTGATTGGCTTGACCACTGACCGACCGCCAGAATCTGTCTCTACAGTGACTACTTCCGAAAACTCGACGACACCTGTCCACCCTGGGCATCTACTGTACAAAACACCCGTCAGAATTTGAGACCCCTCCTCCACCGTCCCGCACCTGATCCCATCACATCACATCAACAATGCAGTCCCAGGAATACTGTAGCGCCGTACAGTAGTTTCTGCGTCGTGTGTGAGCTGGAGTGCCTTGGAATGGAGTGGTCTGCAGTGCGGTGGAGTAATTTTAGTGGGGATGGAGGAGAGCCTCGACTGACAGCTGTTGCGCATCTTGGTCGAGTTGAGTGTCAGGTCAGGCAAGTCACCTTGGGATTGGAAAGGCAGGAAGGAATCTGGCTATGTGCAAGCATCAGCCTCCAGCCTCCAGCCTTCTCGCATTATCTCTCTCTTTCTTTCTGCATCTCTCATTTCAAGGCTGCTCCCCTCCACCACCTTTTTTGCCTGATCATCATCGCCCCAGCCCGCCATCGCTAGATGTAAGGAATCGCAGGTTTGCGAAGCATAAGTAGGATCCACGTGGAAAAATAAGTACGGAGAGATTGATTAAACTGTTACGGCTCGTGACCTACTGAAATTACGGGCCTACCTGACAGGATCCTTACGACTGATGGATGAAGGTGCGACCCACGAATCCGTGGTAGCCCAATCTGCGTCTCCAGCCATGGAGTTGTCACCAAAGGCCAAAGCAGCCGACAATAAGGTATATAAGAAAGAAAATTCGCTCAATGATCGCGTCGCAACGATGACGAAGCAACTAGTATCGAAGACAGCGGTCTTAGGCGAGGAAATGGCGTCGAGAACGAAGGCCGTGGGTGTAGAATTCGTGACCAGATCTGAAGCGATGCGGGAAACGCTGAGAGGAACGGCTGCGGTAGTCTCGGGCGAGATCAAGGGAAAAACAGCGAACCTTGCGGGGGAGATGGTGTCGAAGACAGCGAATATCGCGGGGGAGATGGTGTCGAAAACGACGCAATTCAAGGAAGCCCTGAAGACCTCGCTCACCTCTCTAGGGAGCCGTCCGCAAGCCACCAGGTACGCCCAGATTAATCGCAGCCGTTGATCGGTCGTAGCTTCCGGGCAAGCGTAAAAGAACTGATCCGTTGGGAATGTCCCGCATTGCCTGAGATCGCGCAAATGCATATTTACTTGGTCGATATGTTTACTTTTCATTGCTCATAGCGCAAAGTATCTCTGTTCTGCGTCAGGCTTGGCTCTGGCTTGAGCTTATGCTGTGAGCTCCAGCACTGGTTTTCAGCTGATGCTGCAGCAGCCCTTTTCCCGTTGCACTTGTGCTGCCGAACGCGACCCTTCAGCACGAAGATTGACGTTGACGTTGCAGAAGACGACTGCACCGAGAGCACCGACGTCTTGGCGCCTCTGCAGAGTCCGTCGAAGCACCGTCAGGCCCGGACGAGCCCCCGGGGCAACACGTATCCTTCCCTCTGGTCCGACGTTGACCGTTTCCTTCCAAGCGATCCCCCCGCCAGTGATCCTAGGCTAGAGACAGGCGATGAGGAGGAATCGGACGGCACACATTCGACCCGTGCCATCTTAACTCCTGACCAATCAGAGCCTTCGATTGCACCCGATCAGCTCCTAATCGTGCCTGAGATGAACGGCCCAGATCATCCTGAGTCAGTGGGCGTTGACAGTGGAGGAGAGGGGTTTGTGGTTCCTCGGTTGGGGCACGAGGAGCACGGGGCGGGAGAAGGGGATGAGGGCAAGAAGGGGCAGGGGAGGGGTGAGAGTAGGCGCGCACAAGAGGAGGAGTTCAGCATGAACCTGTGGCTCATGGGGAGCAGCAACGGGGGAAGCAGCACCACCAGCAGCACCGCCGGGTGGTTCCCCGCGAGCAGCTCGCAGACGCAGGTCACTCTTGCTGCCCCGGGCTGCGTGCTCGCCCCCTCCTGGAGCATCAGCGGATTCTCAAACACCCAATCGCAAGGAGGTGCGGCGGGGAAGGAAAGGGAGGGGAGGGCAGGAGCGGAGGCTGAGGTAGGACGGGGTGGTAGCAGCGGGGGGGAAGCAGAGGGGGGGGATGACGCAGCAGAAGGGTGGCACCCCACGCCTCCCGCAGTGGTGCAGAGCCCGTTCGGAGTTTCCACGCGCCTAGAGGGGCCAGAACCGGGGCAGGCGGAGGAGGGCGGGGACATGGATCGGGTGTGGGAGGAGCTGTACGTGCAGAGGGAGTGTGCGTCACAGCCGTCCTCCCCCAAAGAGTCGAGAGGCGCGCTGCCCGCCATCAAGCGCCTACTGGTCGTGCGCAGGGAGTCAGTGCAGCGCTCAGACAGCCGTGACAGCCTGGCCAGCACTGACAGCCGCAGCAGCATCTCACGCCATGCCACACTCGGGAATGACGGCTGGCAGCAGCTGGACATGGCGGGTGGGGAGGGGGACGTACCACGGCAGCGGCGGCGGCGGCGGCGGCGGCATTCGATGGACTCGATCCACCTGGAGGCGGCGGGGTTGAAGCAGAGAGCAGCGAGCGAGCTCGCCATGCACCGCTCGCCGCCGTCGCCGTTAAGCCCGTCCTCTCAAGGCCCCTCCCTGCGCGCTGCAGAGGGCGCCCATGCAGGGTGGCACGGGCAGCCGGGTGTGAGGAGTGGAAGGCCGATTCCAGTGGCTCGTCCCGTCCCGTCGCCGCTACAGCCGCCCTCTCCTCGCCTGCCGGCGGTGCGATCTTCTCCGCTCATGAGCTACGAGCACCCAGATCTGTACTCTCAGTCAATACAGTCGCCTCGGTCAAGGCTGTCGCCTCAGTCGAAGCAGTCTCCTCGGTCACGGCAGTCCCCTCAGTCGAGCAATCCTCCGCAATGGAAGCAGTCCCCGCCGCTAAAGCAGTTCCCACCATCAGTGCAGATGCCTCAACCAATGCAGTCCCCTCGGTCAATACAGTCTCCCCAGCCGAGGCAGTCATCTCAGCCCAGGCAGTCACCTCCGTCAATACAGCTGCCTGAGCCAAGGGACACCTCTCACTCAATGCGGTCGCTTCAGTCAAAGCATTCGCCTCGGTCAATGCAATCGCCTAAGCCAAGCCAGGACCCTCACTCAATCAACTCGCCTCAGACAAGAGAGTCGCCCCATTCAAGAAAGTTCACGCATTCACTCTCCCCGCCACCAGAGCAACAGGCATCACTGCCTAGGGGCTCTTCTGGCCTCACACATGCCAAGCCATCGTCGCCCAAGGCCGCCAGTCCACGCAGAGTGATTGGCAAGTGCTACGGCCTCCCACATACCACCTCTGACCTGACAAATGTGTCCTATTACGTGTCTTCTGATGCTGCCCACGCTCACCCTGGCTCCAGTGCATCGCCCCCCCGCCGTGCTGCTGTCCCAGTCCATGCCCCGAAGCTGCAGCAGTGCATGACAGGCGCACTACCGGGCCATGAGGGGCAGGAGGAGGAGAAGGCGTGCATGCGTGTGCTGTCTGGGGATGGCTCGTGTGTGAGTGAAACCGGCAGCATGCGCATCTACCATGTTCCTTCTAAACCCATGGCACCCAGCAGCACCGCTCCTGATCGTTCCAGCCTGCATCAGAAGCAGCAAAAGTGGCAGCACAGGCCGGCCCTTGAGGTGCCCCCCAGTCCTGACGGCTTGTCGCCGCATGCTACTGGCGGACGGAGGCTGAAATCCGCACCAGTATCGCCATCCGGTCACCTTGTTTCACCGCTTGCCTCTCCTGCTGTGGCTTCCTGGGACGAGCCATGCCGGATTGACCACAGAGCCTTTGTTAGGCTTTATACGGATGAAGGCGCTTCAAGTAACCGGTCTAACATGTGGGACATATCACGGGAATGCGGGGGCTCTGAGAGGTTGGGATCCTTTAGTGACAAGAGGAAGCGGCGGGCGCAGAACTTAAAGAAGCTGTTTCCATGGTGGCGTGCTGCACCTCCAGCACAATAGACTTCAGGGTTTAGAGTTTGTAGTGCATCTCTGTCTGTGTCCACTAAGCGCCGAAACGTTGAGCTGTGGACCATGTTAGAATGTCCCCCAACCTGTAGGGGACACCTGTGCACGATAGCATATCTAGGAAATTTATTACCTGGCTTTTAACCAGAGCAAGATGCTTTACAACCAAGCATCCATTACAACCTGAATTGAGGACACCCATTACCGTAATCTGTACAAGGAGTAGCGTAGGGAGGTGTACCGCTGAGCTATTTTCGGCGGATAATCAGCAACATTTTGATTCCAACAATTTCACTCGCCAGCGCGGAAAGGCCGATTTGAACCCACCTTTCAGTTCAGCCCCCCTACCTTTTCTTGCGACGTTCGCTCATTTTGCGCCTTTTCGTTCCCCTCCCCAACAGCTGGCCCGCCCGCCATTGACTGACCAATTTTCGGCGTGGTTGTGTCGACAAATTCGCTGATCGTCGCACAACCGGACCAGGTTTGTTCTCGAAGAATTCTCCTGCCTAGCTTTGTCAGGGGCAGCTTCGGACCAATAAGCGCGCGAGCTATAAATTTCCGTACCACCTGACCGATTGTTTGGCAGATCTGTTGAATTGTTGGTCCCTCCACGAAGCTGATGGGCAGGCGGTCGGCGGGCAGCGGGCAGCAGGAAACTGCTCCCTGGGTCTGTCTGGGCCAGCAGCAGCTGGCATGTGATGGCGAGAACAAGGCAAGAAAGGACGCTCACTCTCGCTATGGCTGTCGCGGATTGCGCTGATCCGAGTCGAGCCATTCAATAATGGCGGAAGATCTTGATATTTGTTGCCGAAGAGACGGCACACTCGATTCTTGTGCTGCACTATTAGGTTAGGTGTTTCGTCGTTCTATGACCAGCAAGAGGCGTATGTAGGCGGGGAAAGAAGTCACTTGATTTTTATCTGCAAGCATCACTGTAGAGTGACACTCGTACCAGGATGGCCAGTGATTCTCTTCAAGAGCAGTCATCTTTCCGCGGCGCATCCTTCAGTGGAGGGTCGATGAGGTATAGCATACGATTCAAAGCTTTGACGCACTTTCCGTACCCAATCTGGTTGCTTTGTCTGGCATGAATGCGTCCCTGTCTAGTTGATAGACTCAAACGGTGCCTCGTGGCTCTCAATCAGCCCGCTCTGCTTTCCTTTCTACTCCTTCCCAAGTTGAACACTTATTTTCTTCTCTCTCTCAATGTCACTCTATCAGGGACCTGTTAAGTGCTGACGCGGGACAAATCAAAGAGGATCGTTCCGCGTCGCGAGGGGATTCTTGCGGGTGCGGAGCTCTCGAGGCGTCGGCGTGCATTTGCAGCACCGGCGCGTCATCCCCCTCTCCCTCCGCGCGCAAAGGCACGACCAAGCCCAGCAGCAGCTTCCGCTTCTTCGCGTCGCTCAACCGCTCCGTCAGAATCGAGATTCCCGACGACACCCTCCCGCACCTGCCGGTTTCTCAGAGCCTACCGGACCTTCCCGCAGACTCCGCCGCACGCGACCCGAGAAGCACGTTGGAGCTTTTCCACTCGTCGTCGCAGCCGCCGCTATGGCAGCCCAGCTCGCCAGTGGGCGTGCGCAGTCAGTACGCGGAGTCGATTCGGGAGCGCGCGAAGCGCGCAATGGAGTCGCAAGAGGCGATGGACAGCGCGTGGGAGGACCAGCACGTCGCACAGATCGCACAGAGCACGCCGACGTCGCCGTGTCGGTCGCCCGGCGCCATGAACATGATGTCGCCCAAGTCGCTCAGGCGAATGCTGCTAGCACCCGTCCTCTCGTCCACGTCAGCACGCAAATCCAGCAGCGCAGCGGGCTCGTTCGAGAAGGAGGCGCGGGGGACAGGGTCCGCGCGCGCCAGTGCGCCGAGAGGGGGAGGGTCCGCTTTTGAGCGCGAGAGCGGGCGGCGCACGAGCTCGTTGAAGGGCAGCGTTGAGTGCCCTGCCCGCGTGGATTGGTCAGGCAGGCTGTCTAGTAGAGACCCTGACAAAGAGCAGCTCGTTGCTAGCCCTAGGATGGCTCGAAATCTAACGGTGGACGTGAGGCGCGCAAGCGAGAGCACCGCTGGTTGCGCCGACCTTGACTTTTTTTCTTCCGAGTGGGAGTTCCCGGCCGCACAGAGCGTGCCCTGCGCGCACAGCGGGGAGGATGCGGATTCCCCCCCGTACTCCCCGCGCGCGGTCTTCGGGCACAGCTGCATGCCTCCCGCCGTCTCCGCCGGTCTCCGCATCATCTCCTCCCCGCGCTCCTCGTCCCCGCGTCTCTCTTCCCCAAACTCCGCATCCCCGCGCCTCCCTTCCCCGCGCTCGCCCTCTCTGCGCCTCCCTTCCTTCTCCTCCCTCTCGCACCCCTCCCCGCGGTCCAAAGGCAAGGCCTCCGCTCCCGCGCTACCCAGCGCGCACTCGTGCTCGGGCCCTCTCAGCCCGCAGGTTTCGCGGAAGGTTCCTGCGTGGGAGGAAGAGGAGGTGGCGGTGGTGGGAACGCTGCTCGCAGCAGGCGGCGCGGTGGGGGAGATCGCCGTCCGCGCTGCTGGGAAGAAGTAGGGGGCGTTGGGGGTGGTGGCAAGTGGGATGGGAGGAAGCAGGGCGCTGGTGGGAATGGGGAGGCTGTGAGACAGAAGGCGAGGGAGGGGGGAGTGTGATTTGTGCAGTGGCAAGGAGGTTGACTGCTAAGCGGAGTGAAGGAGCTGCGAGTGTGAGAGGTGGTGGGTGGGAGTGAAGGGGCTTTGTGATTGACAGGTGGTGTTAGAGATGGAGGGAGGCAGGCTGCTGGACTGAGACTGGTTGACTGGCATGGCGTGTCTGCCTTGCATCCTCTCTCAAGTGCTGCTTCCTCTGTACCTAACTTCTACGTTTGCTGACAGACTGACTCCTTCACAATCACCGTAGCTCCTTTTCACTTCAAAATTGTGTTTGGTTTACGAGCTGCTTATTGAAGGGAAGCACACCCTAATTTTTCAAGGCAATAAACTCCTGACAAGAATCTCATGGTGGTCCATCAGTTTTGCAGTTTCAATCTCAACATCTCAACATCTCAATCAATCGCATAGAATGGGATCGCAGTTTTGCCAATCAGCAGTAGGTACCATACCGTACCAGGTCCTCTATGGCATGTCTTTTGTACTCCGCTCATTCTTATGCTAAATATACTGTATAGTTCCGGCTAAAAGACCCGCCGGTAAGAAGGTCCCCCGGGACTCTTGAATGGGTAGGGGGACTCTTATTGTGGCAGATTTTGTGAGGACCCCCCCCTTTGCCTCTAATCATCATAAGACCCCCCCTTTTCTGTATACAGTAATTATTAATGCTATTGCGCATCAGTTTTTACTGGCACAAATTTGAATTCTGAGACTTTACTTGTGTCAGACTCGAATTCTGACACAGATCTGACGTGCCGCTTGCGCGAAATTTGCGCGAATTCGGTACGAATATAAGACCCCCCCCGCCCCAAATTGAGCTGTACACCCTAAATAACAGATTGATAGATGATAAATAAGTGTACCTCAGGTCTTAAAAATTTGCAACTGCCAAGATGTCCACCCTAGCATTTTTTCAAGCATCTCTAGAGAGTCTCCCGGGTCTTCTAGCTGGAACTATACGGTAAGACCACAGACCCACCCACACATCAGCCTGTGGCAAAATCATGAGTGCATTAGTCATAATCAGTATTCTTTCAGTACCATAGTATGTTTGAAGGTACATCAGGGGTACTTCACAGAGCAGGGTTAGTACCATACATTGCATAGAAATATCTACATTTGTCCTGCTTGGCTTAGGACTTGCTCGCCACATGAACAAGGGGGCGGCATTTTTGCAAAGGCGAGGTGGTGTCAACAGGCTTGTAGAGGAACTCTCTGCCGGGGAACACACACACTCTTCACACCTCTACCCGCCACCTCGTGCAGCGCAACAAGAGGCTGCAGCAGAGGTCCAGCCTCCTCGCTGCTGACAAGAGTGTTCGTTTCAGCTTTTCCCACTGCTGCTGTGCTTACATCAGCAGCACCAGCGTCAGTAGCAGCAGCAGCAGCAGCTGCTGCAGCAGCAACAGCCCTGGTAGTCACATGAGTTCCTGAGGCATCCCCACCAGAGGGGGAGGCAGTATTGTGACAGGCAGGTGATAGCGGTGCCGGCCAGTCGTGCTCCGAGAGCGAGTAGGTTCGGACCCGAACCACGGGGCTGAAGGCGACGCGCCGAGCCTGGTGGCTGCGGGTGGAGGAGGGGGACGAGGAGGAGGAGCGCAGGCACGAGCGCGGGCGCATGGTTGGCGCGGCAGCAGAGGAGTGCAGGCAGGGGGGCGTGAGGGGTGTGCCAGGGGTGAGAGGCGTGGGGGGTGTGAGGGGCGGGCAGGGCGTGGAGTGGGCGCCCGGGGAGGAGGCAAGGCGGGGGATGAGCACGCGAGGCGGCGCATGGTGAAGGGGGATGGGGCAGGCGGCGAGCGGCAGCGAGGTAGGAGCGCAGGGCGCCATGGATTGACTGCTGCGCTGCGCTGCTGACGAGTTTTGAAACGCCTGCTCAATGCTAGAAGCACGCGGCGCCATGGATTGGGTGGTGCGCTGCGCTGCTTGCGCGGCTGGCAGCTGCGGATGAGGCGACGACGCCCGTGGCGGTCGAGGCGGGTGCGCTGGCGGCGCGGGCGCGGCCGCGGATGGGGAGGGGGAGGGGGAGGGGGAGGGGGAGGGGGAGGGGGAGGGGGAGGGGGGAGGGGGGAGGGGGAGGGGGAGGGCGAGGGAGAAGGAGACTGAGAGGGAGGGAGGCGGGTTCGTGCCTGCTGCTGCTGTGGCCGAGCCTGCGACGCCGCCTGCCGCTGCTGCGGTGCATGCGACTTGACAGGCGGCGACTGTAAAGAAGAGGGATGACGCGGCGACTGCCGTTGCCGACTCGCGCCGTTCGCGCCGTGTGCGGCGTGCATGAAAGCGTGGCGCGCGGGCATGTGCGCCCATGCGTGCGGCAGACAGCCGCCGTCCTTCGCTCCTCGATCATATCGCGACGCGCAGCTGCCGGTGCCCACTGCTGTAGCCGCAAGCGCTACTGGAATCTCGTCATCCTCCTCCTCCTCCTCCCCCTCCGCCGCCGCCCCACCCGCCTCTTCCTCTTCCTCTTCTACCACGGGCGCCACCACACCGTGACAGCGTCGCCGTGACGCAGTCTGACTCTCCGCATCGTCCGGGTATCCGCCCATCTCGCACCGCCCATCACGGCTTGCTAGCCCAGGTGCGCTGCGTGGGAGAGAACGCGACGCGCGGGCGGCGACAGGTGCGGACGCGGTGCGCACGAGCGCACGCCGGAAGCCACCGCGATGCGAATTGCGAATTGGATCAGGCTTTGCCGCGAGATTCGCCTCGGGAGCGCGTCTCGCCGGCATGGTTCGTTCCTCGCTCGACGGCGGCGCTTCGCCAGCGTCGAAGCCCGCCAACAGCGTGCCGTCCGATGTCAGGCTCCGCGAAAGCCGCCGCACTGTGCGCTGCTGCGACTGCCGCGACTGACGCAAGCAGGACTGCGTGGCCGCCTCGTCGTCTCGTGCGAATGCCTCACGATCTGTTCTTCTCACATTGCGACACGATGATTGGTGCTCGACGCCGCCGGCGAGAGCAACGGGGCTAACCTCATCATGACCTGATATATCCGAACTTGCAGCACCCTTCGGCGGCGAGCCGCGTGGCGATTTGCGCCAAATCGACGGCAGCGAGGAGATCAACCATGTGCGCGTCACAGAGTTTGGAGATTCCCCGCCTCCCGCGCCGCCAATTCCGCTGCTGGTGCGTGTGATCCTAGATCGCTTCGTTTGCGGGAACGACGGCGCCTTTAGGCCGAACAGGCTCGTTGGTTTGGCGTGCGAACGAGACGGTGACGAATCGCCTGAGAGAGCAACAGCAGCTGCGGCCGCCGTGATAACGCTTTCCGCCTCCTCCTCTGCCTCTGCCCATGCGGATTCCATCGCCCTAGCGCGTCCGTTCGCCATGGCCGCCATTTTTTTTATCGCGCTCGCGTGCGGGCTCTTAACGGCGATCGGCGACGGCGGCATCCACGTGAGCGACCCGCTTGCAGTCCTCACGTGCCAGTCCGCATGATTTCTGCCATGGGCATTGGAAGATGCGACGAAGGCATCTGATCCGTCAATTTCGGAGGAATAGGAATCGATGATGGATCCAGTGCCTAAGATGTCGAAGGTTTCTGATGAGGGCTCCTCATCTTGAGGAATCTCGATGCGTAACTTCGTCATAATGGCTCTTTTTCGAAAACAAGGGATCTTGTCAGTATTACTGTTCTTGCTTTTACTAGGAGCTGTTAGCGTGCTAACAATGAACTCGAGAAAGTAAACATATTTCTCAGCACTGAGCGGGAGGGGAAGGAATACAGTGGTGGAGTGGAGGGGGAGGGATACAAATGTGAGAAGCTCTCTGGCATTATGGCATAACAATCCGAGCAGATAGACATCTGATTGTGATGTTCAGGCGCCGGGTGGCGAAATGCGATCAGCAGGGCTGCATTGCGGTGAGGTCTGGTGCAGTGTGGCAAAAAGAAAGCCTTTCCAAACGGGCAATGCGGAGATAAGGAGCCAGTGGAAGGAACACGTCACTAGCGGCGCACGCTCGACAGCACCGCACGCGCGGCCAGGGTTGCAAAGGGGAGAGGTCAGCGCAGGCCAGTCAAGTCGCGCATCGCACCGTTGCTTGACAGTGCGGCGAAAACCATCCCAGCCGGGCGAAATCCAAGTCAATGCCTAACAAAAGTTGTCTTGCTCCGGCAGAAAACGCCACTTGTGGGAGGTTGCCTGTTGCTGGGGCACGCGGGAGGAAGGAGGTGAAGAAAGTACGCATGATGCCCAGCCCCTGCGCGCGAATCTGCCTTGCCCATTTCAGAAACTCTGCACCCGTGTTTTTTTCTCTAGTCAGTTGCACTTCAAGGTATAGGCACGCGGCTCAACTTGCATTTGGGCGAGAAAACGCCAAAGTATGAATCTTAGGTGCAAAACAAACCATGCTGACCCGGTTTGTTCTTGCTTCATGGCCAGAAACTAGCATAAACCCGAAACCCTGAACTAACAACAACACAGGCCAACTAGCACTGTTTTGGAAAAAACAAACGAGTTACAACCTGTATTTTTTAGAAGCACCTCAACACCCTGGCGAAACGGGAACGATCTGGGCGACATGCCCAAAACGTTCATAAGCTTGGATCACAACTCAAATGAGGGAAACTCAAACAAACATCAGGTGTATCGCCGCACATGTCTCGCTCCTCGGAAATCCTGAGAGCCGTCGTGGTGGGCTGTCCAGCTGGCCTCTTGGCAGGCAGGCATTGGCTCCTCTTATGAAGGACAAAATCTGCCAGTTGTAAAGAGCTGTCTGTGCTGGAAAAGATTCATATCCTCGCTGTCGTCAATCTTGTGGCGGTGTTGTGGCTGCTGAGATGAAAGTGTGGGGAGGACGGAACCTAGTGCGTCGGTGTGCACCATTCACTAGAGCGAACCGCACGAGTTGTACGATCACGTCTTTTGCGTGGCTCGCATCGCATTCTTAGTGCAATTGAGGATGTAGCCCCTCAAGTTTAAAAAACTCATGGGCGTTGTTGATTTGTAGATCTGCTGTATATGACAGAGCTGGGGCGGGAAAACTGACTGACCGAAGAATATATCTCAGCGGACAAGCGAGTCCGCCCAGGGGAGCTCGCTGCCCGCGGGCAAAACAAATAAACCCCAGAAGGGGATGCATCCGGTCAGGGAGGCATCAACCCTAAACACAGGGAGGCATGGATTTAGGGTTGATGCCTCCCTAGGATGGCATGCCCTTAACACCCGCGTCTCATATTTAAAGTGTATTACGCTTGATTTGTAAATTCGCGATTTAATCCAGGTCCAGACACCGACTTCTGGGTGTTTTGGAGGAATGAAATCTCAACACCGCGAGGTCACACAAAGAACCCAAATGCCCTCAGGTCGTCGACACATACTGTAGGGCGGAGTCGGCATCAGCACAGCTGTCTTGTTCCCACTACAATTGCTTGGATAAGAGGATAAATTTCTAATCCCTTCGTCATCCAATATAGCGCAACCATCCAAATATACATTGAACTCCACTGTTGAAGCAATGAACTTCCCTCTAGTCAGACTGCACAGCATTCATAGATCCAACACACATATGAACTTCTTTATGACTCTGTGGTAGCAAAAAGACCCCAGCCACTTTAATTCTCTGCTGGTGGGGGAGGAGCCTCCGTCGACCCTTGAGGTGAGGGACTCTTCCTAACAGATTTAACATAGTCTGCAAATGACACATCGCGCACCCACCCTTCGGCAAACTCGTCGTCCCCAACGACCTCGGAGCACGTGGAGTTGAAGACAGCGAGGTGGTGCAGGCTGGGGTACCAGTTCCTGTGCACCTCCCTGAACCCCGCGTGCTGCCCGTTGCCGTCCGTCTCCCGCACGTCATAGTAGCCCAGAATGCCCGCCTGCCATGCCGGCCAAGGGCGAATGGGGAATGAGGGGAGAGGAGAGAAGGTAGGGCATGGATCCGTGAACGCATGGAGCCATGAGAATGATATGCTTGGTAATGTGCAAGTGCAAGCACAGTAGGCAACAGGACAAGGAAAAGGGGAGAGGCATGAGATGGATGGGACAGTGCAGTAGACGTCAGAAGAGAAGGAAGGAAGTCGCGGTGAAGGTGAGTGCAGGGTATGCCGCTAGGACGGGTGGAGCGTTGCGATAGACATCAGCACAATGAGCAGCACTCAACGCACAATGAGCAGCAGGGGGCAGCATGCCATTCTGCTCATTACAGCAGGGCAGCAGGGGGCAGTGTGCAGGTGGAATGAGCAGAAGCACCCAGCAGCACACCTTCCTGGGGTTGGTGAAGTGCGACCGCTGCCCCGCCTCCCCAATGCACGTCTCCTTCTCCGCGCCCTCGTCCGAGCACTGCGCATCCTTCCGCCGAAACGCCAGCCACTCCACCGCAAATGGCGCTGCCTCTCGCCGCCCCTCCCACACGCCGGGCGGCTGCATTCTCAGCCCGTCACGGCACTTGACGGGCGACCACTCCTGCGTGCCGATGGTCACCCACGACCTCTCCTCATGCTGCTTGAGATACTCGAGAATGGAGGCGGGCGGCGGCACGAAGAGGTAGGAGTCGGGGGAGAGCACGGTGACCCAGCGTGCGAGGAAGGCAGGTGCTGTGCAGGCAGTCCAGCGCGCTCAGCGCATGCGCGTCGTGCTCCATGCGGAAGGGCGCGAGATGGCGCGTGGGGATGACCTGCGCGGTCTGGTTGGCGAGGCAGGGGGTCGAGGTCAGAGGAGAGGTGAGCCTCCATAGAGCCGGCGTGGTAGAGGGAGACGCCGAGGGAGAGTTTTGAGTGGACTTGAATGAAACACACCTGGTTGGCGAGCCATGGGTCGAGCACGGCAGCGAGGTGCGCGTCCATGGAGCCGGCGTCGTAGAGGCGGAAGAGGGAGACGCCCACGTGCCAGTGGTACGACAGCCACTCGTACATGGGCCGCGGCTGCACGGGGTTGGCCAGGCGCACGGCGCACACGGCGAGGGTGTGCGGCAGGGCGTCCTCCCTGGGCGGGTCGATCACATGCTCCTCTCCCTCCTCCTCGCTGGGGGGTTGGGGGAGAGGGAAAGGGGGGTTGGAGAGGACGAGGAGGGGGCGTTGGGGCCGAGTGAGAGAATGGAAGGCTTGGCGCGCGTGAAGGATATGCATGGAAGGTCATGCACCTGCTTGAACTAGCTGGCTACTACAGGGCACGCACGCAGTGGGGCAGGTGCTAGCGGGTGCCGGACGAGGCACTCAAGGGTACGCACCGGAAGGCTCTGAACTCCTCGCTAGCCACGGTGAGAAAGAGATCCCCGCCCATGGTGCCCGTGGCCGCCTCAAAGTCGCACTGGGGGGGAGACGGTTGCACGAGCGGAGAGGCGTTGGGCAGGCCAAGAAAAGGGTGTTTCGCAGTGTTGGGGCTTTGATCAACATGTTCACTGCAATGCATTGCAGCAGGTGGAATGTGGGCTTGGGGAAAGAGATTCCGCACTCTGGAAGGACGATCACACCTGGATGAAGGGGCAAAGCAAGGTGGCGAGGCACGGCAAGGTGGCGATGCACGGCAAGGTGGCGAGGCACGGCAAGGTGGCGAGGCACGGCAAGGTGGCGAGGCACGGCAAGGTGGCGAGGCACGGCAAGGTGGCGAGGCACGGCAAGGTGGCGAGGCACGGCAAGGTGGCGAGGCACGGCAAGGTGGCGAGGCACGGCAAGGTGGCGAGGCACGGCAAGGTGGCGAGGCACGCAGCACACACCTTCATGAGAACGGCATCGCACCTTCATGAGAACGGCATCGCACCTTCATGAGAACGGCATCGCACCTTCATGAGAACGGCATCGCACCTTCATGAGAACGGCATCGCACCTTCATGAGAACGGCATCGCACCTTCATGAGAACGGCATCGCACCTTCATGAGAACGGCATCGCACCTTCATGAGAACGGCATCGTAGGTTTCCCACCCGTTCAGCCCGCCGTATACCGCCTTCACCTCGCCCTTGCTGCCCGTGCTGCTCGCATTGCCGCCCTCCGCCCACACACACTTCAACGCGCCCCTGGTGCCATGCCATGCCATGCCATTCCATGCCATGCCATGCACACACATGCATGGTTATGGGGGGCGGATAGACATTGAGGTGTGGTCATACCCTCACAGCAACAACATCACCTCATGTTCCGAATTATACAAGCACCAAAATGCAACACTTCCCCCACATCCCCCCCCAGCGCCTCTCATTCCCCCCATCGCCTCACATTCCCCCCAGCGCCTCACATTCCCCCCAGCGCCTCTCATTCCCCCCAGCGCCTCACATTCCCCCCAGCGCCTCACATTCCCCCCAGCGCCTCACATTCCCCCCAGCGCCTCACATTCCCCCCAGCGCCTCTCATTCCCCCCAGCGCCTCTCATTCCCCCCAGCGCCTCTCATTCCCACCAGCGCCTCTCATTCCCACCAGCGCCTCTCATTCCCACCAGCGCCTCTCATTCCCACCAGCGCCTCTCATTCCCACCAGCGCCTCTCATTCCCACCAGCGCCTCTCATTCCCACCAGCGCCTCACAGGTGGTCTTTGAGGAAGTGCGCTCACAGGTGGTCTTTGAGGAAGTGCGCGCCGAACCCCACGATGGCAAAGGAGCGCGCCGACAGGCGGTACGCGCTGAACTGGATGAACCCGTGCGGGCCGCGCGCTATGGGCTGGGGGGAGAGGGAGGGGGGGAAGGGCGCACGGGTGGGCGAATGAGGGCGTGAGGGAAGGAAGCAGAAGCAGCGGCAGGTGGGCAGGCAGTGGGAGCAGAGGCTAACAGCCGGTATGCGCTGAACTGGATGAACCCGTGCGGGCCACGCGCTATGGGCTGCGGGCGGACAGGGCGCGGTGGGATTGGGGGATGCGGAGGGAGGAAAGGCATGTGGCATAGGAATGAGGTGTGTGGTCGGGCAAGGGGCGTGTGTGGTCGGGCAAGGGGCGTGAGAGGGATGATGGGAAGTGCGGGCCAGCGGGAAAGGGATGGGGGGAGGTTGGGCGGGAATTGGGGCACAGAGACAGGGTGGGCACCTGGAAGGGCAGGGAGGGGCGCACCTGGAAGGGCAGGGAGGGGCGCACCTGGAAGGGCAGGGAGGGGCGCACCTGGAAGGGCAGGGAGGGGCGCACCTGGAAGGGCAGGGAGGGGCGCACCTGGAAGGGCAGGGAGGGGCGCACCTGGAAGGGCAGGGAGGGGCGCACCTGGAAGGGCAGGGAGGGGCGCACCTGGAAGGGCAGGGAGGGGCGCACCTGGAAGGGCAGGTAGGGGCGCACCTGGAAGGGCAGGGAGGGGCGCGAGACATGTCGGGAGAGCGGCGAGATGCGCATCTCGTAGTCCGCGTAGCCGCGCCACGTGATGTCCTGGATGCCCGCTGGCGCGAGAGACAAGTGACGTGGCACGTGTGCCATGTGACGTCACAATGAAAGACGTCGTGGGGGGAGGCGAAAGGGGGTGGGGGAAGGGAGTTGGGGCGGAAGAGAAGAAGGAGGGGAAGGGGAGTGAGAGATGACGACAATGACAGGCAGAATGGGGTTGATGATGTGGGGAGAAGCGGGGCAGGGAACGGGCGAGGTAGGGAGGGAGGGGCTTGCATAGCGTGTCGAGCAGGAGCGGCGCGTCCACGATGGAGGGCGGCGGGCGCAGCGAGAGCGCGACGCTGAACGCCACGAGCGCCACCGCCAGCAGCGCCGCCACCGCCGCCATCACGCGCTCGCGCGCCGTCGATCGCTCCGCCATGGCCTTCGCTTGCCTGGCGGGAGGATGCAGTGGGATTGGCGCGTGTGGCGTGCGGGGGAGGGGGTAAAGGCGGAAACAGGCGGAAAGGGGGGAGTGTGTGCTGACGGGGAAGGGGAGATGTCGAAGAATTATAGAAAACCTTAATAACGGGGACGAGAGGAAAGAGGGGAAGGAACCTGAGCGAGGAAGAACAATTTACTAGCGAGAAAAGACGGTCGAGGGGATGTTCCGCGCGGAGATGCATCTCGCGCGTCGCACTTGCCACTGTTCCGAGGTTCCGCGCAAGCCAAGGTGGTCGCACCTGCCGAACCGCGGGGGGGGGGGGGGGGGGGGGGGGGGGGCGGGGGGGGGGGCGCACCTGCCGACATGGGAGAGCAGCGATTGGGTGTCGGCGACGCGGTCGTGGAAGCTCTTGGCGACGATGGCGGGCACGTTGGGCACGCGCACATGCAGGTGATCGCCGTCCGCTGTTATCGACCCCATCGCCACGCCTCGCTGTTCAAAGCGCGTCGGTGTACAATGCGCGCTCGCGAGTGATGCGCGTCGGTGGTTAGTGCGCGCGTCACCGATGCGCGCACTGGCAGGTGCAGATGCAAATGGCGGCTTGATCGACGTTTGCCTCGCGAGCGATGCGCGCAGAGGCGGTTCGGAAGGAGGATCAGTGCGACACCCCCCTCGCTTGGGAATCTAGTCGTGGTCGAATCGATAAAGCAGCGCTCAGACGCGTTAGTAATCTCTGGAGGCGCTATTTGTGAAATTATCGCACCACGCACTTAGCTAAGAGTCGCGCACACCAGCCGTCAGTCGAACCGTGTCGGCGAGCGTTTTCATAACCGAAGCGCATCCATGCTTAGGTGGGATAAAGCTAATAACTTCACCAGAGACTGCAGTTACTACGCAAAGCAGAGAAGAGCGTGAGACGCGGAGAGGAGTAGAGCGACGGGCGAGGAGTGTAGCTTGGTTGGTGAGGGGTGGGAAGGCGGGGAATGGGATTGGTCAGCCAAGCGGAGCAGCGGGAGAGGAGGGAGAAATGAAAGGCGGAGCGTGCCGCAAGCGGGAGAAGTACGGTACAGTCTGCAGTGCGTGTGCTCGCTCACCTTTGAGTGGTCCTAAAATGGCGCGCAGTGATGCACTGTTCACTGTGTACGCGACACTGATACGGTAAGATATGTACAGCACGCGCCATGTGAGAACCGCGAGTGTTATAGAATAGAGCGTTGTAAAATATTTTTGCTGCAATTCAACCTACCAAGCAATGCAGTAGTCATACCTCTGAAAACCTCTTCTACCGTCTCTAAAACTAGAAATCACCCATCTCATCTCTACCCATTTATCCACCCCGATCCTTTTCACGCCGCCCACCTCGTCTTCTGCTTGCGCTTCTGCAGCTTCGCCCTCCTCTTCTCCTCCTCCTTCCTCCTCACCTCCTCCTGAATCTTCTCCCTCTCCTCACGCTGCAACCTCTCCACCTCCTCCTCCGCGCCCTCCCTCCACTCCATCCCCCTCTCCTCCACCTCCTCCTCACTCAACTCCCCCAACTCTCTCACCCACTCCCGCACCTCCTCACCCTTCTTCACCCCTTGCAACGCATCCACAATCCGCCCACCGCTCACGAAAAACGTCGTGGGCTGGCCGTTACGCAGCGTGTTACCAGCAGCAAGCAGCCCCGCCTGGGGGTCCTTGAAGCGCCCCACCACAAGCCCCTCCACAGGGGGGTCTGCTAGCAAGTCCAGCAGCACAGTCTTCATAGAGCCGCACGCGTGGCACCAGTCCGCATAATGCAGCACCACCACCGCCTGCCCCTCCACCCTGCTCGGGTCGCTCAGGCTGATTTCCGGCACCCGGGCGGCGAACTCCGTCTCGATGCGGCGCTGCTCCTGGGCGGCGCGCTGCTGCTCGTCTTGGCGCTCGCGGATCTTGCGCTCCACGGCGGCCTTCATGTCCTTCTTGGCGCGCGCCAGGGCTGCCCCCTGCAGCGCGCCCTGCTCCTCCACGAAAGCACGCAGGGAAGCGATGCTGCGGTCGCCCTGGAGAGGGGAGGGGATATGGGGGGGTGGGGGAAAGATGGAAGAGGGGGGGAGGGGGAAAACGTGGGTGAGATGGAGGTGAGGTGGTGGGTATGGGAAAAAGAAGGGGCGAGGATGGAGGTGGTGGTGGAGAGTGTGAGAGGACAGGAGCATGACAATGCGAATGAGAAGGATCAGGAGCACGGGCACGAGCACAAGCAAGAGCAAGAGCAAGAGCAAGAGCAAGAGCAACAGCAAGAGCGGAGCTTCATTGGTTTCTCACCGAGTATTCAGCGACCATCTGGCCGCCGTGGAACCAGAGGAGCGTGGGGAAGCCCTGAATGAAGCCCACGGCGGGGTGCTTCTGGTGCTGGGTGGCCAGCAGCGCCGCCACCCCCACGCCCGCCCGCTCCGCCTGCTGCAGCTCGTCCGCCAGCTGCGACCACGTGGGGATGAGGCGCTTGCAGTGCCCGCACCTGGGGGCAAGGCCGTGGGGAAGGAGTGGAGGAGGGAGAGGGGAATTGGGTAGGGCGGTTTGGGGGAAAGGGAAAGGGGGATAAGAGAAGAGGGGTCTTAGGAAGAGCGGGGTGAAAGAGCGGAGCAGAGAGCAGAGAGCAGAGAGCAGAGGAGCGGGGGAGTAGGGTGGCAAGCGGGGTGCTGAACAAAGCAGAGGCGATTCCATTTAGTATTATGATGAGTCAGTTGAAAGGTGAGGGGCTGAGAAGGGAAGTGGCAGGAGTTGAGTGTGGTGGCGCCCACCATTCAGCGTGGAACATGACGAAGGTGTGCCCGCGGGTCTTTTCCTGGAAGTTTCCATCGGTGAGCTCCACCACGCTCCCACTGAACGTGGGCTCCGCGCCCTTCCCCTCCTCTGCGCGCTGTGCCTCCTCCTCCGCCCGCCGCGCCTCCTCCTCCAGGCGCCGCGCGCCCTCCGCTAGCTCCGCCTCCCCCAGCTGCGCCTGCTCCTCTATGAACGCCAGCAGCGACTCCCGCGACCGGTCCCCCTGGGTGCGCGCGGGGGGGGAAGGGGAGGACGGGGGGGGAGGGGGGGTGTGAGGAAAGGGGAGCGCGAGTGAGAGACGGGAAAAGGAGTGAGTGTGGAAAAGGGAGGAGGCGGGGGAGAGCGGATGGGGAATGAGAGCTGGGTGAGAGATAGGAGGGGTGCGGCCGGGGGCGGAGAGAGGAGCGGACTAGGGTGGGAATGGGAGGCTGGAAGTGATTGGAAGGGAGTGCAGGGCCCTTGAGAGTAGCAGTGAAAGAAGCGCTGGTAGCGCACTGCGGGTATAGGGAGCAGAAAGAGCCGCGGAAATGCGAGCACGGAAAGGAGCGCGCTGAGGAAGGCGGGTGCATGGAAGCAGAGCCAGGAAGCAGAGCCAGGAAGCAGAGCCAGGAAGCAGAGCCAGGAAGCAGAGCCAGGAAAGGAAAATGCTGAGCGACAGCTACAGGAGACGCGCCTGAAGCGTCACGCATGCCCGCCCATCCCCTGCGCCACCGCAGCACCCCCCATAGCGCACTGCCCCGCGTTCTTCCCCTTCCTCTTCCCCCTCCCCTTGCATCCCTTTTCCCCCTCTCTTTTCCCCCGTTCCCCAGCCTCACCTCGTACTGCGCGACGGGGCGGGCGCCGTGGAACCAGATGAGCGTGGGGAAGCCGCGCACGAGCTTCGCCGCGGGATGCGCGCGATGCTCCGTTGCCAGCAGCGACGCCATGCTGACGTCAGCGCGCCCCGCCTCCTTGAGCTCGTCCGCCAGCTGCGACCACACGGGGATCAGCCGCTTGCAGTGCCCGCACCTGGGGAGGGGAGGGGTTGGGGGGTGTTGTGGAAGGAAGGGAGGTGGAGACGGTGCGACGTGCGCGTGGGGATTGAAGGGGGTCGCGGGAGTGAACGGGAGAGTGCGATGGATCATCGTGCGGGAATGAGCTGCTTGCAACGCCCCGGATTATCGGCAAAACGAATGGGATGCGGGGCGGGAAGGGCGAGCCGCGAAGCAAAATGCAATGCCGTAATGAAGCCACGTGGTGGCGCGTATTATTAGCGCGAGAGAGATCCATGGCGTGGGCGGCGGCGGCGGCGGACCATTCAGCGTAGAACATGACGAAGGTGTGGCCTTTGGTCTTCCGCTTGAAGTTGGCGTCCGTCAGTTTCACCACGCTCGCGCTGAACGTGTGATCGCCCTCCTCCGCCGCCGCCGCCGCTGTTGATCCGAGTAGCACGAGTGCCGCGACGGCCGCCCATAGCAATGGACTCGCGCGTGCACCGCGAGCCATGGCGGGAAGTTGGTGGTGACTAGTTTGATGAGGTCAGACAAGGAACTGCAAGGAACGGCGTAAGGAATGCAAAATGTGGCAGGATTTGAATTTCTGTTTAGATTTCTGGATTTGAGTTTCATTCCTGTCCTGAGCTAATGGGGAAAGAGGCCGGACTGCAGTCGAGCGGGGGTCGAGAGCGGGGTGTTGGGGGGGTGAGCAGGGGGAAGTCAAGAGATGCACGTTGAACATCAATCGACGCGATAAAAACACTGGTGGTAGACACGCGATGAGAAGCACTGTACAATTTGCACAAATACAGTGGTGATGAATTGATTGTGGGAGAAGGTTAGGATCTCAAAAAAGAGTTGCACAAGGCACTAAGCTCGTCCTTGTTCTCGTCGTACATTTCTAGCGACTTCAAGGCTTCGGCAGCCACATCCTTCTGCAAACAAAAGACGCAAGACAAGTGCGAACGAGGATCCATGCGCAAATCAAGCCACATATGATGAGAGCAATGAAAGAAGAGTGGTGCACACAGATTCAAGCAGGGAAAATGAGACAGACTTACAGGAATAATGCCATCTTTGGTTCGATTCACTACAAGGTCCTCCACTACGTCTTTAGTAAACTCGGGGTGTCCCTGCATGCACAACACATGCTCCCCTATAGCAAACATCTCAATGGGCGTGCGCGGTGACGATCCCAGGAGAACAGCTTCGGGAGGCAACTCCAACACCTGCAGGGGGAGAAGGAAACAGATCTATTGTGCTGGTTGTGGCGGTCGCGGCATACAAGCGAAGACTAATAACAGCACAGGCCAACAAGTAACTTGAAAACTTCTTCCTTGTCACATTTCCCCGAGTGAATGCAAAACGGAATTCACCTGATCCTGATGGATCTCCAGAATCTTGAAGGACGATGGCAGGCCGGCAGCATATGGCAGCGATGCCACGTCAGCAGTGCAGTGCACGGGCTTGATCCCCAGCTCCCACCCCACCGCTGCCCTCCCCGTGCGCCCCCCTAGCGCCCTCCCCACCACCTGCATGGCGCTCATGGGAGGGCGGGCAGGTGATGAGAGGGATGCGGGGAGGGTGGGGCACATGATGAGAAGAACGCAGGGATGGTGGTGAGAGGCATGGGCGAGGCATGCGGCAGGTGCATAGAAGAGAGGCACATGGGGATGGGCACATGGGGATGGGAAACGGTAACAATTGGTGTCGTTATGCAAGTGAAGCACCTGGTGGCCGAAGCAGACGCCCAGGATCTTGGTCTGGCGGCGGTGTAATTGCTGCAGCAGGGCGCAGAGGCGCACGATCCAGGGGTCGTCAGCATGCGCGTCATGCTTGCTGCCCGTCACCACCACCGCCTCCACCTGCCCGCCCGCACAGCATGCCATGTGTGCCCCATGCCATGCGTGCACATGCATAGTGCAGGGGAGTAGAGCAAATGCATGATGCATGGGATGCATGCATGTGTAACCCATGACGACGGATGCATGACGAAGGATCCGTGATACATGGTGCATGTTGGCAGATACATGGTGCATGTTGGCAGATACATGGTGCATGTTGGCAGATACATGGTGCATGTTGGCAGATACATGGTGCAGGATTCACAACTTGTACAGGAATCACACATACCTGTACGCACACGGACCGATCAGCACAACAACGACCCTCTGTGCCACGCCACGCCACACGGCGCGCTCACCTCCTCCAGGTCCTGCGCGGAGGGGAACTGCCCGTCCACCACGGAGAACACGTCCCACCGCTCCCCCGCTTCCCCTTCCCCTGCCGCCTTCTCCCCCTGAGCGTGTCCGCCATCCCTGAGCAGCGAGAGGAACATGCCACTGTAGTCGCCGTAGCGCTGCTGTGAGTACGGACTTCCGCGCGGTTGAGGGCGGGTGGGGGGAGGGACGGAGGAGAGACGGAGGAGAGACGGAGGAGAGACGGAGGAGAGACGGAGGAGAGACGGGGGAGGCACGGAGGAAAAAGGGCGAGGCACTGAGGATGACGGGGAAGGAAAGTAACGTGAGGACGAGAACGGTAGAGCTCAATTCCAACGGCATAGCGCGCTGCATGCACCAACGGTGGAACGCACCGCCACGTGCGCGGGGAACAAAGGCCTGTAAAAATGGTTCGAGTCAGATTCGAGTGCAGCGGCTTCTCAAGGCACCTGCTGTGGCCGGCCAGCAGGATGGCGAACCGACGAGTCCGCGCGCGCCGCCGGCTTTCCTGGCCTTTCGCCGCGTCGCTTGCCGTCAAGTCGTTCGTTCCACCCATGGCCCGCGGCACGCAAGCAGAACGGGTGAGCGGCGCGCCTGATGCGCTCGAATGTGGCCTCGCGGCGTGGCTTGCCGATGGTCGACCGATATGCACAGAGGCGGATTCAACGAGGCGGTTGCGAGGAGCGAGGTTCGGTGCCGCTGAACTGCCTCGACGGTGCGACGCTGTCTTCAGCGCAGAGCATGGCGGTGTAACACGGAGGGCTGTCGCAACCATGGGAGAGCTATGGCGCTTCGTAGCTAAAAAAGTCGCGACAATACCTTGGCCTATATTCTCCTAGGAATTGCGTTTGGAGGTGTTGCGCGCAGGCATCAGGTCCTCCACTGGGGGAGGAATTCGGATAGAATGGCCTAGGCTGTGGCGCTTGGTATCCAAATTCCACAGTGATTCAGTATTTGTTTCATGTCAGCCACAATCTTACTATCTTTTGTTAGCCTGCAGTCATGTTACGACTCGCCTCAACCTAGCAGCAGTGAACCCTTTGTTACATGAATTCTTGACACAGGCGTAGCCGAAGCTCAGCTTTACAGCACAGGTACACTCACAGGCAAAACACAAACGGAAATGGCACCTACTCTATAACAGCACAATGTGATGCTCTCTGCCTGCCAATCCTGCCTCCCTGCCTGCTCTTGCCTGCACCCTACACCCAGCCATGCAGCCACTCCTGCTGCACCTGTGCCGGCATCCGTGCTTGCAACAGCAAGTGCAATGAGAGCAACTGTACCGCACTCCACCTTAACCAGCTCCACAATAACCAGCTGAATTGTACCGTATCGCAGATTACACCTTGAAGCCGCGGCTGTTCCTGCGACCACGAGCCATTTCCCGCTTGCGGCCCTGGCTGCGCACATATGGCCTGCAGAGAGGGCACACGGGGAGGCAGGACGGAAAAGGGAAGGAAGAGGAGTAGGTGAGACATGGCGAGAAGGGTGCCATGGTGACAACACAACAGGGAAGGGTGGGAGCGGAGGGCGACGATGTGGAAGGGAAGGGCGGGGACGAGCGTCTTTGTGGCCTGCATTACTTGCTGGCCTGCATTACTCTGTGCCGCCGCTGCTGCTGCTGCTGCATCTGTTTCTGCTGTTATTGCTGTTGTTTCTGCCTCTACTATGCTGCTGCTGCTGGTGCTTCTGCTGCTGATTCTGTTTCTCCTGTCTGCTGCTGCTGCTTCTGCTTCTGCTGCTACTGGGTCTGCTGCTCCCCCTCCCTGCATAAATCGCTGCAACGAAAATCCTTACGTGCTGCTTCTTTGCTCCCACTCCGCCCTGCGCTCCCACTCTCTGCGCTCTAAATCTCCTCCGCCCTGATTCCCATGCGTCCCCACCCCGCTGCGCTCGAAGCCCCTGCCCTCTGCTCCTACTGCCTGCCGCCTAGTCGCCCACCCAAGCTCCTTCGGACTCCCTCCTGTCGCGCGCACACGCCTCGCCCCACAGCTCACACACGCACCACCAACGGTCCCTCCGCCCCACGGCACACAGCCGACAGCTCCTAAATTAACGAATCGTGGCCCGGTCCAGTAAGGTTCGGGAGGTTCGCAATGCACGAGGGATCAAGGGTGGAGAGCGAGAGGGAGAGCGAATGGGAAGCAGGTGCGGCGGGGACAGAGGGGACACACGGGCATGGCGGGGAGGCAGCATGGCGGGGAGGCAGCATGGAAACAGGAGGAGCACTTGCCTGGTGTTGCTGTGGGGCACACCGGGCGCGGGGCCGAAGTGCTTGAACGCCTCGCGGCTCGTCACCTTGCCGCGGAGCAGCAGCTGCGCGCATGATGCGCGCAGGTACGCGGATGATGCGCGCAGGTACGCGGAGAGACAGGGGAAAACGGGAACAGAGTGGAAAAAACCAAGGTCAGGGGCACGCAGAGATTGAAGGAACGGCTGTAGAAACTACGAGGAGAGGTGGCGGGAAGGTGGAGGAAGAAAGGGCGACAGGCGGGGGTTGCGGAGGGCATACGCAGTTGTTGCCGGTGGGCCGCTGCAGCGCGAGCTGGTCGAAGGAGAGGCACTCGCCGCCCGCCTTCTCGATGCGCGCGCGCGCAGTGGCGGAGAAGGCCAGTGCGCAGACCTTGACGCCCTCGCGCACGGCGTACAGGCGCTTGTCGTCCGTCACCTTGCCCACCACCGTCACCACCGCCTCCGCGCCCTACGCGCGCACCAGCGGAGTACCGTGGGGGACGGGAGGGGAGGGGTGTTTGAGAAGTGGAGGGGAGAGATGGAAGAGTGAAATGGGAGAGGGCGATAGTGGAATAGTGAGGGGCCGAGAGGGCGAGAAAAGAGAGAGGCAGTCAGTACGGGGCGAGGTGGGACGAGCGGTGATTCAGTGGGATGGGACCATGGAGGAAAGCGGTACAATGGGTTGCAAGTGATGACGCTTGTGACGGTTCCGACGGAAGGACCGTGCTGTGGCACTCGCGGCCCGATCATTCCCTCTGAATTCATTCCCGTTTCCCCTTACACCCCGGCCCCCCATCTCCCCCGAATTCTACTCCAACCTTCCCCGTCCCTTAGCCCCGCCACGGCGCGGACCTTGTTCTCGCCGTATTCGAGGACGCGCGAGAGCGCGACGGGCGGGCGGTTGGTGCGGCTCATGAAGAGGCGGCGCAGCACCACCTTGTTGAACGGGCTGCCCGTGCGCCGCGCCAGGAAGCGGTAGATCTGCCCGCGCGCGGGGGGGGAGGGAGAATGGCGGAAAGGAAGGGGTGCGCCGGCGAGAAGGGGAAGACGGGGCGGGGGGCGAAAGAGAAAGGAGTTGAGAAAGTGAAAGGGTGGCTAAAATTGAGTACACGCGCGTGAGCATGTGCGCAGGCGCGTCCATAAATGAAAGCGAGAGCGACATGGGCGGGTGAGAGAGATGCGGGAACAGCGGTCAGCGGCGAGAGCGGAATGAGGCGACCATGCGAGATGCCATGGCTAATCCATTTTGAAATGCGGCACTGGACCAAATATGGGAGGCTGTTCACTGGGGCAAGGAAATGGCACTACGCAGTCCAACCGGCCGATTTCGAGTTATCCACAGCATGCGGCACGCAACCCCAGCAATGCACGAAGAATGTGAATTCCACCGACTGACGACTGTTCTACACGCCATGCAGAACACACCACACGCGCTCATTACCCACGCCAAGGCGTTTGGAACCGCTGCAAGACTGCATCGCACGTGTCAAATTGGCGCAACGCGGCGATTGCTCCAAAGTTACAGACGACATGCTGACGAAGGATGAAACCCTAAACGTTGCCAGTCTCGCCTAAACTGAACCCTAAAGATCTATCCGTCGATCCAAAGCTGTCGCTCTTAAAGTTATATCGATACACCGACAGGTACGCCGCGATCGCTCTGCAACGGCCTCTTCTACCAAGGCTCTAACAGCGCAAATTCCATGCCGTCGCAACACGGCAGATTTCAAAGAAAAGCCTATCATGCAACGATCGCAGGCGGCTTCTCAACGCACGCACGGGCGGCGCGCGACTAACCTTGACGAGAAGGAGGAGGTAGGGATTCCGGCTCTTGGGGGCCGTCCTGTGGGTCTTCTTGTTCCGCCCGCCGGCCTTCAGATCAATCGCCTGCAGCACGGCAAGGGGGACGGAACGACGGCACGCCGTCCGGTGAGAGACGTCATCAGCAGCTAGGGTTTGCAACTAGTTCGAAAAAACGGGGAACGCATGAAGATTTTTGCACTAGGAGCCGACGCCCTCTATGGCGACATGTTGGACTGGTGTGGAGTTGAGAAAATATCGGGAGCATATACGCGACCAATCCATTACAAGCCCGAGGCTAAGGGCGTAGCGCAGTACCATGTCGGGCCGTGTGGGTGTCTAGATTAGAGCAACCAGAAACTAGGGAGGGGAGAGAAAGGGCGGAGAGAAGCACAGCAGAAGAGCTTTGTTGAGCCGCTTGCTGCCAGAGTGCTCGGGAGGCCATCCAAGGGCGGGCTGCTGGTATGAGAGCGACGAGAGGGATGGAGGGACGTGTGCGACGGGGTGAACGGCTCAAGTTCGCTCAGGGTTACAATGTATATCGCGAAAGTGAGTGGAGGCAATTTTTTATGTTCGCGCGCTTGCTGGTGGTCATCCACCTTCAAATGTGACCCCAGTAAAGTCAGCTCCGATTCACGTGAACTTGACGGCCTTCCCCTTTTCAACGGATGTACTGGAAACTAGCTAGTTAACTGGATGTAGTTACTTCGGATAAGTTGCGATAATGTGGAATGTGAACTGCCCCAACGTCATTCACGATCAGACGTACAGTAATTAGTGGTGCCAAGGCTGTACACTGCACAGCAACATGTTTACAGCGCATAAGGGCGACGTCAGGTTATACATTTCTCATGGGTTTACAGTTCTTGTATCGTGGTTCAAAACGTTCCAAAACGGTGGAAAGCGGTTCTTGAAGTTTACCGCTCTGCACCGTGTTGAAACAGAGTTAACCGCAGTGGGCGTACAAAAAGTTGTACAACCTGACGTCGCCCTAAGGACTGCCACGCCTAGAGTGGTGTGTGCGCTCTCGGCTGTTCACGTTTCGGAGCTTCGATACCTGGCTGGAGTACCGAAGCACAAATTCCCTCACCGCGCTGGGATTCGGGAGAACATGCTTCAGCTCCTGCTCTCCCCCACCACCTACTGTAAATCTGGTACGGTGTTACCCGTAGTTCACTCTCCGTACCCACTGTCGTCGTGACGAGCCTGTCTGTCCAGCGTCAGGCTGGCCTGTCCACAGCCAATGACAGCTCCGCGGTCCAACCAACCTGCCATCCACGCCATGCTTCACGTTAGCTCCGTGTGTACCACACAACCATGGCCTCCCCAAACCGCGCTAAACGAACCCTGTTCCAATCATGTTTATCCATGGTTCGTTTAGCGCTGTTCTTTCACGTTGATTTCGGTTTGGAACGGTCTAGTGTTTCCACCGTCTTAGACCAATGCTTACAAAGTCAACCCTAGACAAATAAGACATGGCTCATGCTCACTGTTCTTAGCTCCCTCCCTCCCTGCTGTCTTTGTTTGGAAGGCAACAGGTTTCATGGCTGTCATTCCTTCTTCTCTCCACATTCCACTGTATCCCGGTTCGAAGCAGGCTTCCTTGTGAGTAGGAAGCGCTTGTAGGGCAGGCTAGGCGTTATGCCAGAGGAAACATTGCCTAGCATTCTTTTCTTTCAATCGCCTCTTGTCTTCTCGTGCCGTGTGGCGTAAGCAAGCGTGCCCACCTTCGCTGTAGCATATGTTTTTTTCTGTTTTATCGGAATTCGTTCAGCAGCGTGCTGCCCCGCTCATCCTGCGTGCGTCAGCGTCTAACGTACACGCCGAGGAAGCAGCTTAGATTCATGCTATACGTGTAGACCATGCCATCTCGTCCGTTCTGGTGTCATCAGTGCGCCACGGTGCGCTCGTTAACAGCTCCTTCCAACGACGCAGAAGCAGCGGAGGTCATCTGCGCGTGGTGCGGCGGCGGATTCGTGGAGGAGTTGACGGCTGGCAGCGACATCGACGGCGGGGAGCACGGCCGCCACCACAGATGGAGCCACCGCGGATCCGACCACGCGCGCGCTGCTGCTGCTGGCGCGCCCGTGATTGACCTAACAGAGGAGTACACTGGCAACGCGCATGTCGGCAACGCGCATGCCGGTGCGTCGAGCGGGTTCGCGAGGGAGGCGCGTGAGAGCGCGTTCGCGTGGGACGGCGAGAGCGCGGGCGATGCGGATGTCAGCGCAGGCGAGACGGCCGGGGTCGCCGCCGGCGCGTCGCTCCGCCCCGAGCGGCCCTTCCGCGGATCCGTCCGTCGGCGGCACGTCGGCGTGGGTGCTGACGTCAGGTCCCCAGGCCCGTCTGCCGGCGAAGCAGCGTTTCGGGAGGCCAGCGGGTGGGGCGTGAGGGCCGCCGACGATGACGGCCGCGCTGCTGCTGCTGCCGGTGGTGGCGTTAGCCGTAGTGGCAGCGGTGGCGGCGGCGGCGGCGCTACCAATGGTGGTCCATCTGCGACCGCTGCTTCCGCGTCCGCTGCGGCTGGAGCGAGCGGCGAGGCGGAGGAGGGCCACGGCGCAGCGCGGAGGCTGGAGGGCGCGTATCTGGGGCTGGCGAGGATGCTGCGAGACATGGAGGACCGCGTTGACCCCGAGCGACTCGCTGACGTGGCCGGCAGGGAAGCAACGTTCGGTGCTGCGTACGGCAGAGGGGGACTGGGGGGAAGGGCAGGGGGAGCGGCGTCGGCGCGGGTGGGGGGCGCGCGGGCGCGGCGGTTCGGAGGGGCGGAGGACGAGGGGGGCGGGGTGGCGGCGTCGCTGCTGGGCGTGCGGGGGGAGGCGGAGGCGTCGCCGATCCTGGAGTTCATGGAGCGACGCATGAACCGCGAACACACGGTACCATGACACAAACGCTGGGGCGGCTTGTTGGCTCGCAGCATGTGCCTCACCGTGTGCACTCGCCGTGCTTGCTCGTTGCGACTCTTCTCCCCATGCCGCCATTTGCTGTCCCCTTTGCCCCCATCGTTCTGCTCGTCTTTTTCTCGCCCCTCCCGCCAGTTGCGGCGCCTGCTGGCGCGCCTCGAGTCGCTCAACGCCATTGTCGGCGGGCAGCTGTTGGGCGGCGCCGCGGCGGGCGGCGCAGCGGGCGGCATAGCGGGCGCGGTGGGGGATTACTTCTTCGGAGACGACTTCGACGCGCTCGTCGAGAGAATCTCCGCCGACGACGCCGTCAGGTGCGTGCGAGGCACGCTCGGAGGTGAGTGCGCCAGTCTTTCCGTGCGGTGATTAGGTTACCGTTAACGTTTCTGATACTCCTGTAACTTAGCCGCGACACTCTCTCTGCGCGCGCTTCCCCTCGTCCCCCCCACCCCCCACCCTTCCCCTTGCAGCACGCGCAACCCGCCCGCCTGCCCGGCGGCCGTCGAGGCGATGCTGGTGCGCGTGGTGACCGCTGCTGACGTGGCGCAGCGGGAGGCGGCGGGCGAGGGCGAGCACGGGGAGGGCGGCGGGCTGATGGACCCGTGCGCAATCTGCAAGGACGACTACGAGCAGGGCGCCGTCACGCGGCAAATGCCATGCCGCCACGTGTACCACTCCGATTGCCTCCTGCCGTGGCTGCAGCGCCACAACACGTGCCCCGTCTGCCGCTTCGAACTGCCCACCGCGGAGGCGCAGGACGCGCAGCAGCAGGGGCAGGGGCGGGGGGCGGAAGGAGCAGGGGGGACCGGCTCTGGCGGGGGAGCGGAAGCTGGTGGCGGTGGCGCAGCAGGGGGAGGCGAGGGGGAGCGCGGCGACGTTGAGTGGCACGAGATGCAGTGGGAGGGCGGGGAGCGCGGCGGGGGGGAGTGGGGCGGCGGGGAGAGCAGGGACGGGGGCGGCGATGGGTGGGACAGCACGGAAAGCGGGGAGAGGGGCCGCGGGGGGTGGAGCGGCGGAGTGAGTGGAGAGGAGGGGGGCGGCAGCGGGTGGGAAGGCGGAGATAGCGAAAGGGAGAGCGTGGGGTTCCGGTGGGAATGGACGGAGAGGGAGCGGGAGCGGGAGAGGGAGAGGGAGAGGGAGCGAGAAGAGTGGAGGGAACGGGCGTGGGAGAGGGTGAGGGAGAGGGAACGGGAAAGGGAGCGGGAGCGCGGGGGACTGGGAGTGCGGGGAGTGTTGGGGCAGTCAGCGGCGGCGCGCGCGCTCAACAGGAACAGCATCGGCACCCTGACCACCCTGGTCTCCCTGGGCGCCTCCAGCAGCGCGCGGGGCTCCCTTCCGCGGGAGGCGGGGCGCGCGGGGAGAGGGGCGGAGTGGGAAGGGCGGACGCGGTGGGGATGGGGGATAGGGGGGGATGCGGGTGGGGGTGGCGCGGGTGGCGGGTGGGGGAGGGGCGGGTTGGGAGGTGCGGGGTGGGGGCTGAGGGGAGGGCGCGAGAGGGGCGTGAGGGAGGAGAGGGAATGGGAAAGGGAGATGCGACGAGAGGTGATTCGGAATTGGGGGAGGGAGGGGGAGAGGGGAAGTGAGAGGGATAGCGAGAGGGAAAGTGAGAGGGAGAGTGTGAGGGAGAGCGAGAGGGAGAGCGAGAGGGAGAGTGTGAGGGAGAGCGAGAGGGAGAGCGAGAGGGAGAGTGTGAGGGGGAGCGAGCGGGAGAGCGAGACAGAGAGGGAGCAGGGGATGGACGTGCAGTGGTGGGGCGGGCAGGGCTGGTCCAGGGGCGCCCGTGTGGCGTCTTCGTCCGCCCTGCGCCACCACCGCCACGCCTCCCCCGCGCGCCCCGCCTCTCCTGCTCGTGCCGCGCCAGAGGCTCCCACGGGGGCAGCAGCCTCTACCGGTGGGTTGGCGCAGCAGCAGCAGCAGCAGGGGCAGCAGGGGCGGGAGGCGCAGCGAGTGAGTCCGCGGGCGGGCAGGCAAGCGGGGCGCGGGCTGTGGGGTGGCGCGGGGCAGAGGCATGCATGGGCGGACGTCACAGGGGGGACGGAGAGGCGAGGGGGCAGCAGAGGAGGCATGGAGAGCAGCGTGAGGGAGTGGGGTCGGCCGTGGGAGGCGCAGCCGCACAGCGGCGAGGCGGGCAGTGCGTGGTGGCGACAGGCAGTTGCAGAGGGCGCAGGTCCCAGGTGGGCGGGCGGACGGAGGGCGCAGGGGGGACAGGGGGGAGAGGAGCAGGGGCAGGAGGATGGGGGATTGGCAGGGAATGCAGAATGAGGTGATGCGCGGGGGGGAGGGGGTGGGGGTGGCTGGTGTGGAGAGTGCGGAGGAGGGGGGTGGAACGACACTAGGGCGATGGATGAGTGAGGGAGGAGGAAGTGGTGGGTGGGAGTGGGAGGAGGGCGGATCGAGTGTGGCCGTGTGGGGTATGGGAGGGGGGGAGGAGCAGCATGAGGAGCAGCATGAGGAGCAGGATGAGGAGCAGGCGGAGGAGGGGGAAAGGGAGGAGGAGATTGAAGGGGATGACGAGGAGAGGGAGTGGCAAGTGGATGGGTATGGAGGAGAGGGGCAGGAGGAGTGGGAGGAGGGCGAGGGAGGGGAGGAGCAAGAGGAGGATGTGGATGAGGAGGAATGTGAAGAGTATTATGATGAGGATGATGAGGAGGACGGGGAGGAGGAGGAGGACAGGGAGGGGGAGGGGGAGGAGGGCGAGGAGGATGAGGAGGAAGGGGGGGATGAGGAGGGGGAAGAAGAGGGCAAGGAGCAACTGTTTTTTGACAGCACTGCCGACCATGAGGTCATGCTGACGTCACACTATCATCAGCAGCTGCACCTGCCATCCCCCTCGCCCCCCCTCTCCCCGCCTCCAGCCCATGGCCGCCGTCCCTCCCCCCCTTCCCTCAGCCCTCGGCCCCCTCTCGCTGCATCCCCCCCCCATGCATGGCACGCCCCCCCCCTCCCCTCGCTGCACACGCACCTCTCCTCCCCCCCCCTGCGCTCCGCTCCTCCCCCCCGCCTGCCCTCCTCGCCCTCGTCCGTCTGTCCGCGCCCTCGACTCTCTCCCCGCTATGCCTCCCTACGCACACAGCCCCACCGACCGCCCTCACCACTCTGAAGTCCCTCCACTGACCTTGAAGCACAAATGCAACTCCTGTGATGTGGCGCTAGTGCACTGAATTCATCCTTTCTCGTGATTCCCCTTGCTCCTGTGGAGCTCTTTTTCTACACCAAGTGCAAATGCTCTCACCCAGATGCTCCTTGAAGCACTTCTGATGATACGGTAGACTTGGTAGACTTCAGTGGAATGTGCACCAAATGGCTTTGTATGGATGATGAAGTGCAGAATCAAGGTTGGCTAACAATAAGTGGACACTTCTATTCTTCTGCCGTACACTGAAGATTGGGGTGGAGTGGAGTTGGTTGTGCCCAGGGGAGAGGAGCGGAGGATAGCTGAAGTCAAAAGGGAAGTCATAAGGGAATTGTAACCATGAGACAATAAAGAAAATGGATTTAATTATTGTACAACTATTGCGAAAGTTTCCTTCATTCTTATTTGGGCATTTATCTTAGCGGTAACACTCATTGGGGTCGATCGCACGCAAGGTAAGCCACGTGTCCGAATCGTAACTAAAGTATCTTCCGATTGCCTCCATGGTAACCAACGTGCCAGTTTGGTCAACATTATTTCCAGAATGGTAATGAACAGTGCATTCCGAAATCCCAACTGGTAACTCGTCAGAACATCCGCGATGTACACCGTACGTACCCTGTATGACTCAGATTTGAACGTACAACACAACCAATTTCTGTAGTTCCGAACCCCTTACAACACGACCCATTTCATGACGTAGGTCAACAACGATACTACATAAGGTAACAGGTTGGATTTGCATATATGTTGGTTATATTTATAAGAGACTAGCACATAACTTCTGTAGACACCGTATTCAGGATCCATTTTAATTTCGTAATCACTAGTCAAGACAACAATTTGACAAACATAATAGCATTTATTGTTTTACTATCATCTACACATGTTCAAGTTATAAACGTGAAATTATAACAAATATGTTACAATGCGAAGCCTATATCCATCTCATTTTCAGTTTTGCCGAGTCATACAGGGTACGTACGGTGTACATCGCGGATGTTCTGACGAGTTACCAGTTGGGATTTCGGAATGCACTGTTCATTACCATTCTGGAAATAATGTTGACCAAACTGGCACGTTGGTTACCATGGAGATAATCGGAAGATACTTTAGTTACGATTTGGACCCGTGGCTTACCTCGCGTGCGATCGACCCCAATGAGTGTTGCCGCTAAGATAAATGCCCTTCTTATTTGCAATGCCCTCCCAGCTCTGCTCAGTACAGGTGCGAGCCTGGCCTTTGCGAATCTGGATCGTTGATCGGAATTTGTTTGGACCCAATCACGTTTGAAATTCCGGCCACGTGGGTATATTTGTGGTGATTCAGGTGTCTAGAAATTGCAGGATAATCACTGGCCCTCCCCCGCCCACAGCTGGTGAGGCGAAGGACCCCTCCTCACTACTTCTCTGAAAGGGCACCTAATCTCGCAAGTGTGGTAACACTGCCAGCCGATTGGCTGCAGAGCTCTCTGGCTCCACCTTTCGTGATTCGCCAAAAGCCAATCCCACCCCCGAAAGCCATTCCGAGCCAGCTACAGGTGCCCGATTGCCCCACCCATGTCCCAGCAGCAGCCGTGTCCGTGGACCCGCGAGCCGCCGGGAGGTACCGCCCTTGAGCGCCATTGGATCGCATCGGCGACCCGCAACCACCCATCTGCGTCCCCGTCGCCCACCTCGCCTGCGATCCACCCTCTCCGTGCATCTGCCCTGCAAATCCCCGTCGAGTGAGCGACGCCCCTCTCCCCGCTCGCCCACTCATCCTCGTCTCCTCGCGCGTCACCTGCTCGTCCCCTGCTTTCCTCGACGGCCAGGTCTCCTCAGATCGACCACATGTTGCACCGTCGCCATCGTCCGCTGGCTGCAGATTGGATAATCAGCGCCACGTGTGACATCAGCAGTGACGGGGACGGAGCACGTGATGGGCGGCGAAGGCGGCAGGGACAGGTCAAGTGGAGGAGGCATTTGCGAGCAAAAGTGATTGTCGAGAACGGCACAGCGTCACGTGCGAGTCTCTGCGATGGCCGAGTGACGATAAATGCGGGTTAGGATGAAGGCTTTATCTAAGTGTCTGTGGACATTCTACTGTGACAAGCTCAAGCTCTTCTCGCACCGTTTCTGAAAGCAACGCGACTGTGCTTGCTGTTGCCTAGCGAGGCGAGCACACGCGAAACCCGAGAGTCGACGAGGCAGACGCCACTCCGACCCTCAAACGCCGTGACGCAACTCAGCCGCTGCGCGCCAGGTAGCGGAAGAAGGGCACTTTGCGCAAGACACGCCGCGCAGCAAGCGACGCAGCCATGGCTGACGTGTCGACAGCGGCGGTGGGGCACGATGCGGTGGGCGCGCCCGGCGAGTCGATGCGCGGCGTGACGGGCCGCGAGCCCATCTTCTCGCGCGACGTGGGGCTCGACGAGGGCGACGCGCTCTTCCCGCTGCCCGTCGACTCGGAGCACAAGGCCAAGCAGTTCAAACTCTTCAGGTGCGCCGCGCCTCCACCCTCCCAGCCGCCAAGTCCACGTTGTGATGTGACGGCCCGTCGCAGTCGGAAACGCGCCTCCTCCGCTTCTCCAATCCCCGCTCTTATCCGAGCCTCTCCACCCCCCAGTTCTCAAACCTGCCGCCTCTGCGCTCTCCTCCGCGCGGGCCGCACCCTAATCTGCTCCGCTCACCACGTTGTGTCCCCTCCTTTGCCGTGCCCGTGCCCACTCCCTCGTGCAATTGCGCCTGCTGTCCTTTCGCTTCACTCACCAAACCGTGTCCTCTCCTTGTACTTCCCTTGCCCTCATGCCTCCCCCGAGCAGCGCGTCGCGGCCGCACATGCGCGCATTCCATCTGTCGTGGATCGCATTCTTCCTCTCCTTCTGCTCCGCCTTCGCCGGTAATTCCGCCACTCTCACACCCGAAACCCTCACACCATGGCACCATCGTAACCTCGTAGTGCCGTCGATTGACCACCATCGCTCTCACCATCGCACGGCCGTGACCTCTCATCGCCCCCGTGTCTCTCACTCCGCGTGATGCTAATTTCGTCCCGCCCCGCCCTCCCCTCTCCCCGCCATCCGTGCGCCAGCGCCGCCGCTGCTGCCGGTGATTCGCGACAACCTGGACCTCACCAAGGCCGAGATCGCCAACGCCGGTATCGCTGCTGTCGTCGGCGCTGTCGTCAGCCGTCTCGTCATGGGTACGCCGTCATCTCTCTCTCTCGCCCTCTTTCGCTCTCTAGCCCTCTCCCTCTTGCGCTCTCGCTCCCTCGCTCGCGCTCTCTCTCATTCTCTGCTCTCGCTTCATCCATTCTCCATGTCTCATGCCCTCGCCCCCGCTTGGTCGCGCAGGCACGGTGTGCGACCTGGTGGGGCCGCGCTACGGCACGTCGTTTCTGCTGATCGCCACGGTGCCGTGTGTGGCGGCCATGGCGTCCGTCACCAACGCCGCGGGCTTCATCATCTGCCGCTTCTTTATTGGATTCGTCCTTGCCACCTTCGTCTCCTGCCAGGTACGAGCCTCATGTGATTCGAATTGTGATTCCAATTGGGCTGAAAATCCGTCTCGTTCTAAGGCTCATCCCTTGATTCGATCCGCTTCCTTCACAGCGCCCTGTCTCATCTCCCTGCACTCCTTGCCCCTGCTCTACCTCCCCCCCTCTGCCCTTGCCGCGCGCAGTATTGGATGTCCTCAATGTTCAACTCGCGCATAGTGGGTTTGGCCAATGGCACGGCGGCGGGGTGGGGGAACCTGGGGGGGGGAGCCATCCAGCTGATCATGCCGCTCATCTACTCGCTCATCACGGACGCCATCCACGTGCCCGCCTTCACCGCGTGGCGCCTCTCCTTCTTCGTGCCCGCCACGGCGCAGACCATCATGGGGCTGCTGGTGCTGCTGCTGGGGCAGGACTGCCCCGACGGCCAGTACCTGGACCTGGCCAGCAAGGGCGTGAGGAAGATGGACCAGCCGCTCAAGGTGCTCAAGACGGCGTGCCTCAACTACCGCACGTGGGTCTTCGTGCTCACGTACGGCTACTGCTTCGGCGTGGAGCTGACGGTGGATAACGTGATCGCCGAGTATTACTACGACCGCTTCAACCTCAACCTCAACACCGCCGGGCTCATCGCCGCGTCCTTCGGCCTCATGAACATCTTCTCGCGCCCCAGCGGTGGCATTCTCTCTGACGTCGCCGCCCGCTGGTTCGGCATGCGCGGGCGGCTATGGAACCTGTGGCTGCTGCAGACGCTGGGCGGCGTGTTCTGTCTTGTGCTGGGGTACATGAACGATCTGTGGTCGTCCACGCTCGTGATGCTCATCTTCTCCTACTTCTGCCAGGCCGCCTGCGGCGCCACCTTCGGCATCATCCCGTTCGTGTCGCACCGTGCGCTGGGCATCGTGTCGGGGTTCACGGGGGCGGGCGGCAACGTGGGGTCGGCCATCACACAGGCCATCTTCTTCAAGGGCGCGTACAGCACGGAGCAGGGCCTGGCGTACATGGGCGTCATGATCATCTGCTGCACGCTGCCCGTGGTGGCCGTCTACTTCCCCCAGTGGGGCTCCATGCTCACTCCCCCGTCCAAGCGGCCGTCAGCCACGGAGGAGGCATATTACGCGGGGGAGTACACGGAGAAGGAGCAGGCCAAGGACATGCACTCCAGTGGACTCAAGGTCAGTCCCTGCTCTCAGTCATCCGCTGCTGCGCTCGTGCAGAGAATTTGCAGGCTGGTGTTGTGTCTTCTGCACTGTTTGTTGCCTACACACGCTCTCTGTCCCTCACCTCACTCTGCCTCAGCTCTGTGTGCTGGTGTGGCTTGCCCGTCTCCCCTCCCCTCCCCTGCCCTGCCCTTGCATGGGTGCAGTTCGCGGAGAATGCCAAGTCAGAGAGGGGCCAGACGGTGCCTGTCACAGAGGACCTGCCGCGGTGAGGAGGTGCCTTGCAGCCTTGCAGGCGCAGCGCACGCTCAGAGGAGGGGTTGGCACTGGCACCACTTGGTGGC